TACATCTACTAAGTCCATTTGTTCACAGCTTTGGTTCAGATCTGTTATTTCCTTGCTTATTTTTTGTCCGGTTGACCTATCTCTTTGTGTCAATGGGATGTTGAGGTCCCCTGTTACAATAGTGTTATTAATTATATGGGTTTTCATGCCTATTATGATTTGTCTTATATAATTTGGAGCTCCGATATTTGGTGCATACATGTTTATGATTGTTATCTCACCCTCTTGCAGTTTTCGCCTGACTAGTATGTAGTGACCTTCTTTATCTCTTTTGATTGTTGTCGGTTTAAAGTTTACAATGTCTGAAACTATAATAGCTACCCCTGCTTTTTTCTGGGTTCCTGTTGCATGGAAGACTGTTTTCCATCTTTCGACTTTTAGTCCATGGATTTCCTTTTGAGTAAAATGTGTTTCATGTATACAGCATATCGTTGGATTTTGTTTTTTAATCCACTCTGCCAGTCTGTTTCTTTTGACTGGAGAGTTGAGGCCATTTATATTTATAGTTATAACTGGTAAGTGTTGATTTATCATTATCATGTTATTTACTTGCATTGGTGTCCTATTTTTTCTACCTGTTTACTTGCTTGCTCTTTTTGACGTTTCCTTTGTGCTGTTGTTCTTGAAATTACGGTCAGATTTTTCTCTGTCTAGAATATCTTTTAGTACTCTTTGTAATGCTGGTTTGGCACTCATGACATTCTTCAATTGTTCTTTGTTGTGGAAATATTTTATTTCTCCGTTGAATTAGAGGGATAGTTTGGCAGGGTACATCAGTGTTGATTGGAAGCTATTTTGTCTTGGGACCTGTAATACTTCGCTCTTCTCAATTGGGTGGTTTGTGCTGAGAAGTTTGCCGTGATTCTGATGGGCTTTCCTTTACAGGTAATCTGCTTCTTTTCTCTAGCAGCTTTTAATATTCTGTTCTTTTGCTGGAGATCTGGGAACTTGACTATTATATGTCTGGCTGTAGTTTTATTTTGGTTGTGGTTGGTTCAAGTTCTATATGCCTCATTTACCTGTATATCAGGTTCTGTTTCCATGCTTCAGAAATTTTCTGCTATTATTTCTGCAAATATTCTTTTTATGTCAGTTGTGTTCCCTCCTGCTGTTTCACTAACTTCTATAAGTCGTACATTATTCCTCTTTGCCTCATCTTGCAGCTGTTGAATTGACTTTCCCTGGATCCTTGTTGATTTTATGAGATCTTTTCTTTCATGGTTGCTAGCTGTCATGCTGTCTTCAAAGTCCGAAATTCTATCTTCAGCTTCATTCAAGCAGTTTTGGCAGCTTTCAATGGAAGCTTTGTTTTCCTGGAAGTCTCTTTGAATCTGGTTCATGTGTTCTAAGTCCTTGCTATATTTTTCATTTAACAATTTCATCCATTGCTTTTGTTCCTCTATTTTCTTATATTTTTCTTCTTCAGATGTCTTGAGCAGTTTTTTCATTATTATTGTCATTTCATTTTTTTGCCTGAGAGATTATTTCTGATCTCATCTCTTCTCTGGCCTTATGGAGTTGTTTCTTTATTCCCATTACAATCATTTCAACTATTTCAGGCATGTATTTACCAAGTTCTAGCGGCTGGGGATTTAGCTCAGTGACACAGTGCCTGCCTGGCAAGTGCAAGGTCATGAGTTCAATTTCTGGTACCGGAAAAAAAACCCCCAAAACAAAACAAAACAAAACAAAAAAAAGTAAATACCAAATTCTCCTATGTCAATGTCTTCTGGACTTTTTCTGAGTGGGGTGGAGTTCTGGGATTGTGTTTTAGTCCTTCGTTTTGTCATGTTTGCTACTGGATGCAGAAAGCTCAGTTTCTCTCTTCAGTGGCTACACAGCAAAGGCCACTAGTGTCCCTAGTTTTCCTCTTGGTCAGGTTTGTCCCTCAGTTTCTGCTGAGAAGCTCTACTTAGTCTGGGGTTTTCCGGTAGTTGTTCATGTGTATCTAGTTATCCCAGGTCTCAGATGTGGGCATTAGTGTCAGCTGATGGCAGACCATTTTATCCAGCATCCCCTTGCAGTTAAGGGCATATGCACAGCCCCGACATGGGTTGCACTGGTGTGATAATCCCGGTCCAGTGGACCTATATCTCTAGGCAGTTCAGGGTACAGGCAAAATGCAGACATGAACTGCAGGGGTGACAGATTGTGAACCACCTGATTCTGTGTCTCCAGTCAGTTCAGGACACATACAAGAACCAGATGCGTGCTGGACCAACAGCAATCACAGACTGCCCGTGCATGCAGCCCCCCAGGGGGTCTGGGCACATGTAAAGCACAGACTTGAACTGTGGGACCAGCAGCTCTTGAAGCACTTGCTTACTAGATGCAGGGCCCACGCAGGAAGGGCCCACACATGAACCCCAGTGAAACCAGTCCCCAGGGCTTCTGAGTGAGGAATTCCTGTCTGCCACGGGTGCACAGAGGGCAGAGACTCAGAGTGCAATGGTGGCGGGGTCCTGGGTCACTCGCTCTGCCCCCAGGAAGTAGATGGGAAATACCTGGCTCTCTCTGCGAGTTTCAGTTGGGAACCATGGCAGTGGGAGTGAGCTAAAATCACTTAATCTTTCCAGTACTTCATCTGTATGCTGCACACTGTGTTCTAATCTAACTCTGGGGGTGTGGTGGGCATTTCTGGGAAAAGATAAACCTTGTCAAACATTTGAGTAAGGGCTTCGTTCATTATAAGAACTCAAATAAATGCCACCTATTAATAGATAGTCCCAAAGTCTCTTTCTGTATGGGTTACTTTTCTCTTGTTGCTGAGACAAAATACCCAACACCAAGAATTAGGGAAGGAAAGGTTTATTTAGTTCCCAGTTTGTGTAGGTTTCAATCCATTCTTGGCTGGCTCCAAGGCAGAGTGGCACATGGCAGAGGGCAACAGTTCATGGTGGCAGAAAACAGCAAAAGCAGCAACAGCTAAAGGGCGGGGGGAGCAGCGAGCAAGCAAGCCTCTTTCCCTCCGTTATACTGTATGCAGGTTACTCCCCCAGGGCGGGTGTAGCACTCACATCCATAAACCCAGCATTGGGTCATGGATCAATCATAAACTCTAGAAGCCCACCCCACGGCTGCATGAGGCTTTGGGGGGACATCTAGACACAAACCATAACACTTACTAATAGTAAAAAACAAAACAACGAAGAATGAGAGAAATTGTTTCATTCAAGATCTTGCAGCTGCTTATAGGTGAAGTGACCCAGAAACCAACTTCTGCTGTCCTGCTCAATTTCCTGCCACATGTTGGGATGGATTACTCAACTGGCAAATTCTTTTTGGCCTCCAGATGGTGCAAGTGGATTTAGGTAGGTGTAGTTCACAAGCAGGTCTATGAGTATTTGGTACCAAGAAAAATTTCCCAAACATCTAGCATAAATTTTGCATACCTGGAAAAATAGTAGCAGAAGTGGCAGCAGTGGCCACAGTCCCAGCGTCTCCTCCATCCATGGGGATACCCAGAGTCTGCAGGGTGTACTCAGCTGCGTATGTCTTTGCTTCATCCACATAGGCACTCAGTTTGGGAGGTGTGAAAGGATGGCTGGAAGGCATAGCCAGTCATGTTAGGCATTTTAAAACTTGTGTACGGAATCAAATGAAAACCTAAGACACAGCTGAGATACTAGATGATGGGATTTTGTATGGTACTTTCCATTCTCTATGCTGTGAAAGGCTTCTGAAGAAAATATATGCACACAAAGGAATGTTTATCAGTTGACGTACAAAAGTGGTGGTGAACATATGGTACATGCCATAGCGAGCCTCTTGGCCAGCATAGGAACCAAAATGCTCCAGCAGCCAAGCATCAGATAAGAGTTATTTTTTCTAAACTAAAATTTATCAATGAGGTTTAATTGCAGTGTTGTTACTGTGATAAATAAGTGGGTTTTGGATTATATTTGAGCACTCGGTCTCTAAAAGCTTTATCATCACTGATCTAGAGCATATGTGGTTGGTTACATTTCTGAGCCATATTTGTAACCCACCACGTGGCTTTCCTAAGGTACATGTGAAGGGCAGGGTTCCTACGACATCTATGGATCCAGGCTTGAGGCAAAAGTCAAAAAGTAATATCCACTAATGGAGAGGTGATATCTTGGGTCCTAAATTTTAAATGAGGGGCAAGATTTTATGTATAAAACTGGTGATTTCACATGGTTCAACCTAAATATTGTGCAGATAAATAATTGGCTGTAGTTTCTCATAGCTATTACATTTTATATTACCTACTGTTTTCTAATGGTTGATTATACCACAGTCTTCATTGTCTATCTGAAATTTGGGGACTTTAGATGTTTGCCCGAAAGGTGGCACATAACATCTCACCCACACATCTCAATGCTGTATTTAGTGACAAATGAGTAACTAAGAAACCTGGATATTTTTATTGTTTAGATAATGACAAAATACACTTAATTTACAAGTGGATGCTATTCTAAAATCTAAATAAGTAGAAATTTGGAGAAGTTACTCACATTGCAGGATTCTGGCTGGCCAGAGCAGGAATAGTTATTTTGTATAAGAATAATTGTCTTTGGTCTTGTCCAATGGCAGAATGTAGTTGATACACTGGCTGTCCCCAGTTATTTTTCTGACAAACTTCTTCTAATATCTACAAAAGTAAAAAAAACCATTTCTTCCTCAAATGTCACATTTCCATTATTTGTCTAGTTTTCAGGTTTTGAACTCTGATATTTAGAGTTTAAACTAATCTGAGATGATATAAAATGCCACATGGTTTAATGACTCATAAAATTTAAGTTGAACTGAATTTGAACTCCATTTAAAATGTTATATCTATTAGTTCATAAAATCATTTTCACACCATTTACTTTAATATGTTTTTAGTTTAGTCCATTAGCTGTAACTTTTTACTGAGCTTCCTTTCATGATTTGTTTGATATTTTTATTCCATTAAACAACTGATCCTCTAGATGTTTAAATAGATTTACTTATTATTACCAAAGCCCTGTTTATAATGGTTTAGAGGAGATAATCTAAGAATATATTTTCATTTCATGTCATTTTTCATAGGATTTAAACCTTACATTTTCAAAAACATTAAAAGTTTTTATGGTTCAGTGTGTGGGGGAACATTAATAGATGAATGTTGATTGCTGCAATATTTTTGTTTGGCAATGTATCTCTTCTGGCTACTTTTATGATGATCTATTTTTTCAGTATCTTTTTAATTTTTTTTCTATAATTATTCCAATTGAATCTTTTCTAAAGGCTCATATTTTCTTCATTGGGAAGCCAGTTCTGTTGATCCAGACATGTTGATGATCTTTTTACTCAGGAGATTTAGTATACTGTGTAAAACAGGGCTGAGTTGGAGAAAATAACTCTGGGAGAGAGAACAGTGTCCCAGGATATATCTCTGGAGTATCTTACCTCATTTATTCTAACACTAATCCAGCTGCATGACAGGACATTTTCCAGTTTATTAATCCATAGATTGTTCTTATTTTCTTTAACTCTTTTCTCAATATTCCTATAGCTTTTCTTGTCATCTACAAAGCCAAGGTTCCTGAGCAAGAATAGGTTAGCTTTTCTTATGAATAGTCTGCCTGCCTGTTCATTCTAGGTGAGCAAATCTGTTCACTGAGCAAACTCCATAGTTTCTCATCTGGAGGTTTACAACTCTGTTTTTCTGGTGGGAGGTTTGTAACTCTGCTACAGGGCTGTTTCTCCATCTATATTGATTGTGATAACATCATCTTCAGTTTGTCAACCATAGTTGTACAAACTCAGAGACCAATTAATTAAAGACCTTTCATTGGGTGACACATATGGTTACTCACAGATTAATAGAAAGTGTGATCAATTTCTAATCTGAATTTAATGTAAAAAGCAGAGATCTTTGCTCATGCTACATTAGCTCTCAGATATATACAGAATTAATGATTATTGTTTTAAAGATTTTTTTCTTAAAAGATTTCTAGCTATCCCAGTAAAGATACTAGGATAACTAAATTCTTTATTTTAGGTCTTAACTCAAGAGAAGCAGACTAGTAAGTTTTGTATTTTCCTGGCAAGTTCCATCATATCACTTAACTTATTTCATTATAATTATCTGTTAATGTGTCAGTATTATCTCACTGCATTGATTTGTATGGAAAATACTTTGTTATATTCATCTTTTAAAGTTCCAGAACCTAGCACAATATGCACTGCATAAACAAAGCTCAAAAAATGTATTTTAAACAAAGAGTGCTATTTACCACCCTGATAGGCACTCTTTTTTTTTAAATTACCTAGATAAGTTTATCAGAAATGTTAGATTAATTGTGCATAAAAGAAAGATATTAATTTCTCCCACTCCGGCACATATCAGTAGCCAAGATGAGCTCTTATAAAACCAAGTTTTCTTCTTGGTTGCACTTATAAGGGCTATTTTCATGAATTTGTCTTGCCTATATCTTTGATTTGGGAGTAAGCATGTTTCTTTTAGAGCACATAAACTGTAACTCTGTTTATTTAGCCAAATTATATCTCAGAGAGCTCATCATATACTAAGGATTATCACGAATCATATTTTGTTTTATTTTTAACGCTGGTATTCAGCCATACTGGGACAACCTTTATAACTTTTAATTTTCCTGTAATAAAAGACATAGCCTCATGCAGAGATATGGAAACACAGAACTGTTAAATGAAAGCAATAAAAATTCACCATAATGCCACTGCCCAAATATGACTATGGTAAAAGACTTAATTTGATATGACTGACAGCACCTTATGGTTAATGATTCACCTAGATAGCATGGTAGACCTTTCTGTTAAACACATTTTCCCAAGGAAAGATGTCCTGAATGGTCTATTCAGGGTTCCATATCATGAATACCCTTCATTTGCCAAGCAACTTGCCTCACACAGAGTAGGCATTTATTCTGAGCTGGTTTTCATGATGCAACATGTATTATGGCACCTTTTGGAACTTTAAACTGAGGTCTTTGTTTCATATTTATTGAAGCATTGTTAAATGATTTATAATAACTCTTAGATTCTTTGCATTTCAGTGAAAGATTTAATGGAGGATTAAAGTTTTACACATAATGATTTTGGTTTTTTTTGTTGTTGTTGTTTGTTTGTTTTTTTTGTTTTTTTTTTGGTTTTTCTCCGGTACCGGGAACCGAACTCACGACCTTGCGCTTGCCAGGCAGGCGCTTTTGCCGCTGAGCTAAATCCCCAGCCCCTACACATAATGATTAAAAAGAAATACAAGGGACCTGCAATGAAAAAATGGCACTTAATCATTCCTCTAAAGGATATTATGCTGACTAGTCACTTAATTCTATTAAAAGCAAATCAAAGAAGCCTGTAATCCCAGTACTTGGGAGGCTGAGGCAGGAGGATCTATTGTGAGTTCGAGACCAGGCTGGGCTACAAAGTGAGCTCAAGGCCAGCCTGAACTCTCAAAAAGACCAAAAATAAATAAATAAATAAATAAATGCAAAGCAAAGAAGAGAATAGCCCAAGGTAGGATCAATCTAATCGATTAATGATAGGTGAATTATGGTCATTGGCTCAGCTTATAGAAACTATCTCTGGAATGACTGTACCTACCTGTGGAGCAAGTTTAATTCCTTGGGGTTTTAAAGTGACAGGATTCATTGGAGTGAGCTCCATCCCAGGCAGAAGGTCATAGAGCTTGTCTTCTCTCTTGTCTCCTTTGACCTGGTGGTACCCACGACCCAGGCCTGTGTATGCCAAGTAGCCGCGGCCGCCCAGTCCTCTCACTCCCGCAGCCCCTACAGGTACATTCATGTAAATTTCTAGGAATTAAGAAGGCATTAAACTGAATCAAACCACCAGAAAATCACCCTGAATCTTACTGTAATGAAAACGTTAGCCCAAGTCACATTGATTAATACCCTGAAGAGGGATAGAAAACTCTGGGATTCTAATGTAATGAAACTCAGTAGAAGGTAAGGCTCACTATATGTATCTCTCTCTTTTTCATAAACTACCTGAAAGTGATACCATCCAAGCTCTTAAGTATATGAATAATTTCAGGTAACCTTTTGTTAAATTTTTTCTGAAGACAAATCAAGGTTGGGAATATACTTATTAAAAGATTCCTGCATAATATGACCATGTGTATTGAAATCAGTCTTTACAGAGACTGTCAGTGATCAGTAAATTAGAAGTTAAATCTAGATCATCCAATTACCCCACCCCAATGGCTTATTGGAAAACCAACATTTCAAAAACATGTTTTTAAATTTGCTATACTTGTTCTTATGACCTGTCAAAGTGAGGCTTAAATTTCCACTGAGTTTCATGTTTAGATTCTTTTTGATTTTTGTTTGTCATGTTGCTACTTTGATTTTCTATTCATGGCGTAAAATGATAAAAAATTAAATTGATTACAATTCATCCATCCATGAATATTATCCATTGATTCTTTTCTGCTACAAGTTACATATTTTTCCTTTAGAATACAATCTTTTTCTTTTTTTTCTACATCACAACTGGTTGATCACTTCATGTATTTCCTGGTTACTGATATATTTTAGATTATTTATGCTTAATAATTCAATGATAATTTACTATCATATAAACAGGTTATTTTGAAGGAAATCCTGATGATTTCTTTTGTATTACAGATTTTTTTTCAGGCATGATTATATTAGAAGTTGAAACTTTTAAAGCTGTTGAAGAATAGAGGTCCTAAAATGGCTAATTCAGGTTTATGACAAAAGAGTAAGACACAATAATTGTTCTCACTGCACCCTGGATGTTCCACTTTGCTTCTAAGTCAAACCCAAGACTAGATTTCAATACATGATTTGCTTGTTGATAATGCCTGTGTTGGTGTCATATTTGGACAATAGGACTGGGATTCTGGTGAGATTAGCCACATCCTAGAACAATCACACTGAAGAATCCATAGGCAGAGATGAACTAGTTTCTTGAAAATAAAAAAAAAGAAAATGAAACAAAAACATTTGCCTTATCTTCTATATTGCTTCAATTAACTGAGCTCAGAAATCTGTTTAACATTTTCAAACATGAAGCACTTATGGTCTTACAGACTTTGTTTTAATTTCCCACATACTAAACAAATAAACTGATTTTCTTAATAGCTTGACTTTTTAGAAGATATATTTCTTGGGGGCAGTCAGAGTATAGCATCTCCTATATTTTTAAGAGTGTATTTATTTTAATTTGTGATTTATGTATAAAGATGTCACTGAGTCACCATCAAGTAATATGAGCCTGAAAGTGTTCTTGTTATTTGAGGTAATTTGTTTCCATCGGATCACACTACTTTCCCTTTTGGAAGTTTCGTAACCAGTCATATGTGACTGAAAATGGTGGTCTAATGATAAAGAAGTAGCTCACAATTATGGAACTAGATTTAGGTTGGGGAAATTTTATACTTCTTTGCAAACATCAGATTTGTGCACAGGGTTCCATTACACTTAAATTCTGACCAAGTTTTTTTTTCTATAACCAGTTGTAATGTGAAAAAATATTCCTATGGAATAAGAACTATTGATATAATATTCGATTTTTAATAAATAACTTTCTAGTCGCTTTTCTCCCAGGTCCTTAGGCCTATCCAATTTGTCTAAGGCTATTGCCCTGCAAATCATTTGAAATCTTGGGGTCGTGCTAAGGCAAGAGCTGACTGGTGTTACCTCTAACAGAAGGGGCTCTGATAATGGCTCTGTTACTCAGGTGTCCTTTAGTGGCTGGAAAATGAAGACTAGGAATCGCCGCATAGGCTTGGGGGGCATAGAAGACAGGAGCTCCAAGGTAGGTTGCGGTGGGATCGTAAACGTGGCCCAAAGAGTAGGTATATTCTCCTTGCAGCATAGCTCCTCTTCCACCTGTGCCCCGGGTATACCTAATGTAACTGTCCTTGTCTACTGGTTTGGCCAGGGTCACTTCAATGGGGGAACCATCCAGCATCTGTGTGGTGGAAAAAAGAAAAAAGATATTAGGACAGGTAAGTGTGGTTGAACCGTAACAACAGGTCTCCTTCTTAGTGTTTGACTATTTGCTGTGTTTAGTGAATGTTTCCATTACTCCTATCTTGTCTTTTTATAGGTTCATGTTTGTCTGCCAGAAGGGTTTTCTTTTTTTGGTTTTGGTTTTGGTTTTTCTCCAGTACTGGGAACCGAACTCACAACCTTGCGCTTGCCAGGCAGGCGCTTTGCTGCTGAGCTAAATCCCCAGCCCCAAGAAGGGTTTTCTTTGAGAGATTTTTGTTGGCAAGTTGCACAAGATGACAACAGATTTGACAGTGACATATTGTCCATTGATCTATTGGGTATGAATTTATAATCTAGATACAGTTGCTGAAGCAAAAGGTTATCTAATACTCTCCATTATGTGATATGTGCTTTAAGTAACAAATTTATACAATTACATAATTACAAGAAATCTTAGGTTTATTATAGAAGGAATATAATTTTCACTACTTAGCACAAAAACATACAGGTGAAGGAAATTAATGATGAAATCATTTGATCTGATGAACAGTTAGGAGCTTAAACAGGGGCAGCAAAGGATTGGGATAGAGGGGGTGGGAGTGAGACTGAGAATTCTACAATCATGCATCATTGCAGACACACTGTCAAGGATTATTGGAGTAGTTCTCAGATGCAAGTTTCTGAAACTGCAGACACTTCCAGATGCTGATGATCATGACTGTATAGATCTACATATGCAATTGACTCCTGTATTCTGTTTGCATGCTCAAGAAACAAAGATGGCTTTCAACAAATACTTGACAGATTTATGTATTTTGTTATTAAAGGGACAAAAGTTCCCAGAAACTATTTGTGGTTTCCTTTGAATAAAAAAATGGATCTTTATTTGATATAAAGGAAGTAAATAGAATAGTGTTTTAGCAAAAATTCTTTTTCATAGCAGCTGAGTATGCACCCTTATCCCTCAATTTCACAAGTGACTCAGTAGTTGTTGAAATCTGCTGGGCAAAGCTTGTCTTTCATGGTCATCTTGACTATTCTGGTCAGCCTCTGGAGCAAGCTGTCCCTAGTTTCATGTGAACATCTTACTTTTTAGTAATAGTAGCCAGTATTAAATACAGTTGATGGAACACACCGAGAGATGGGCACAATCTAATCAATATTCAACAATCTAATATTGATATTGATATAATTAGAGAAAGAGACTTGGAATATTGAGGGAAGGAAGTGATCTTCAATACAAGATTCTTTGTACCTTTGAGGAAAATGAGGTGCTCAAACAGGTCTGTGTTTATAGGCTCTTCTATATAAAGACATCTTTTGAGTGGAATGATTCTTTATTGCCAAGTCAGATTTCTTATTATAATAAATTTTGTTCTGGACTTTTCTGCCTCTTCCAACAGAATTTCAAACACTTCCAACTGAATTTTAAATGCAGTATTGTATTTCAGTTATTTAGTTTAAACATTTCAAGGGTAGAACAATATCATATTGATCTGTGTAGCCAAAGCCCAGCAAAATTTCTTTCACATCACAACATCTGCAAAGATTTCTAAAACAAATGAATTATCATGTCCTGACTTCAATTTATCACACCTCTCTCCCGACAGGCTTCCCTTTCTGAGTCTGCTATCAGTCTCCTATTTGGAAAATTTATACTGATTTCTCTTTTGTTACCCTGTCTTTAATCAGTCTTTGGACTCTTTGAACTCGTTCTTCCATAGTTCTGTGTAGATCTCTCTCCTATATTCCATTCCCACATTATTTCAAGTCCTTATTTTGTGCTATTTTGGTGACTATGATAGCTTCATAGCTAGTTTCATTCCATCTCTCTCCACTCAATAAAAAGTTACCTCTTACTAGGCTAATTTCCCTAAATTGTAAATGTGATCATTATGTCACAAAAAGGTCTCACCTTGTCTAATAAATTAAATATAAATATCCATAAGCATACTAAAAAGCCTTTACAGGTCCTAAAAACTATTTTTACATACCACATTATGCTTAAATATGACTTTTACTATATATTTACTAGTAATATTCAATATATATTTAACTATGTGATGTGTGTGGACCTTGCTATAAAATATCTGGCTGCAAATATTGGGAATTACTTGAATCCCTTTTGCCTATAATTATCCTGGTTTATTTATTTAGTCTTTAATTTATAATCAGTTGTGTCTTCTCAGCAGTACTGTATACTCAGAAATGTTTCCAAATAGAAAAAAGCTAACTACAAATTGTTTTCAAAATAATAGCATTTTTACTAAATGTAGCATTTTATTAATGTGATAATGAAGAATAATGCTTTGTTTCATAGCCATTCATTTAAATATATATTAATTTTTGCTTTGTGGCTTTCCTTTGTATTTCAGAATCGGTGATGACCCCTCCACACACATATCAAGAGTCAGTTTTTAAGGCCTCTGAGGAATGTGTATATCCCAGGAGCCACTGTGTCTGAAAGACCAGGGTTAGGAGGTCTTCCTTTTACCCTCAGATCTACTTCCCACCAATCTCTAGCATGCCTGCTGCTCTGGAAAGCTACTGTACTTGGGTCCTCTTTATGGCTTTCAGCCTTTCTGCATTATGATTGCATTTGTCCAATGAGAAACCTTGATAGGAGGGTGTAGAGAGAGGTAATGGTGAATTTGAGGCATTTATTCCCCTAGCTCCCTCCTAAGAGGTTACTTTGGCCTAGTCCTATCCCTTGCCCAAAAATAACTATTCCTTTTGTAATATCAGCCCTCCATGATTTTTTCCCTTCATAGTTTCTATTAATTCTTCAGCCCCTGTGGCTTTGATGCCAGGAGTGTGATGAGTCCTGGGTTTCTGTGATATCTTTTTATCCCTCTACCTCCCATTCACACATCTATAATTAATTTCGTTGTTATTTATTTTTTGTTAGGATGAAGACTGATGCAAAGCTCAGTGGGTAGAACAACCAGGTGTGAATTATGTTTTAAGTAAATTGCTCTATATTTTACCTTTCTCTGATTTTGTGCTATTTTTCTCAAATTCTGTCCTTTAAGACTGATTCAATGCAATCCTAATGAAAATACCATTAGCATACCTCATGATCTAGAGAAAAAAAACATTCCTAAAATTCATCTGGAACAAGAAGAGACCTAGAATAGCAAAAGCAATCCTGGGCAACAAAGGCAAGGGAGGAGGCATCACATTCCTTGACTTGAAATTATACTACAAAACTACTATGATAAAATCAGCAAGGTACTGGCAAAAAACCAGACCTGAGGATTGGTGGAACAGATTAGAAAGTGCAGACACAACTACAAACACACTCAGCCACCTTATCTTTGACAAAGGGGTCAAACATGTCCACTGGAAGAAAGACAGCCTATTTAATAAATGGTGTAAGAAAAACTGGCTCTTCATATGCCAAAGACTAAAACTAGACCCATGTCTTTCACCATGCACCAAACTCAAGTCAAAATGGATCAAAGATCTAAATATTGAAACAGAAACACTAAATGTATTGGAAGAGAAACTAGGAAAAAAAGAGAGTGATTCTGGTTTCCATTATTTGTCTTTTGAAATTATACTCTTGGAATCATACCCAAACCAAATGCTTTTGTCTTACATATTAGCTTCTCATATTCATGGAGAGTTTCTGATTTTTGGTAACCTACTTCTTCCTGTGAACTCTCTTACTACTTTTAGATTTCTTTTTTATGATATTACTTGACTTCACTTTGCATAGTTATTGGTGTACTTATTTATTTAGAAGACATTTAGCTATTTGATCTTTTTCTTTGTATATTGCATATTATTAGAAGATAAGTGGTCTATATAAGGTTTGCAGTGCTTCTTAGATTGATGTACATTTTATATCAGTTTCTCTTGAACACTTCACACATTCCTCTTCTAAGCTGAGTGATAGTAAGCCTCCTACAGGAGGTAGATCAAATTCTGAGGGCAGAATGCAGCTATCTTGTCATTTTTTCTGACCATAGATCCTTAAAGGACTGCACTATACAGTGCAAAAGTGAGAGAAAATTAGAGTTGAGGATCATCACCTTGAAATATTCTACTTTAAGCCCTCTTCCTAAGAAAATGGAGGACTAATGCCTTGTCCAAATCAGAAAAACACTGGAGATAGAGTTGGACATAATAGCTGCATCTCCATTCTCTATTGTGTTTCCCATCATCTTAAGTGACTGCAGCTGCTAAGTTAGCAGTGGGGAGAACTGGAGTGTGATAGATTCACAGCGGTTCTCCTTTGAATAGAATGTCCACACCAAACTCGGACATGTGTCTTTCTCCTACATTACCTTCCCATTTAAAGCTTTCATAGCCTCAACTGCGTCTTCTCTGTTACTGAAGTGCACAAAAGCATAGTCCCGAATTTTCTTCACTCTTTCCACAGCACCTGTACACAGAGTGAAAGTATTGTTGTTAGCAAATTTGAGATAGCACAGGAAATGATGCAGTTCACTTCCATGAGTCAGGAGCCTATGAAGATTTTCATGTGTCCAGGTTTAAAATTCTATATATTGCACGAAAATTTCTGTTAATAATTTTTTTAAAATGTCTGATTTATTATAATTAGTTATAAATTTATGTGTTCTATTAGAATGGTTTTAAACACTCTTGAATTATTCTTTTTTTATGAGTACATGTTTGTGGTACATGATGAATATAACATATAGCTGATACATATATATGAACGTTAAGTATAAGAATAACATCTTACTTTGCATTTTATGTAAAGTAAGAGATAATAGTTGAAGCTTTATGAAATATTGTTGAATTCAGTTGAACTCAGTATTGGCAAATATTCAAATGCAAAAGGGAACAAGGGATGGGGGAAGAGGGACGGGATAAGAAAAAAGAGAGTGGAAGGAAGAAAATGCAAACAAAGCTTTTGTAAATGAGGGGAAGAGGGGTTGAAGGGAGGAAAGGGGACTGAGGAAAAAAGCAGAATCAAGATATATCATGTACAGGTACAAACTCCCTCTGATCAATGTGATCATTATGTATACCTAAAATGTACCATAAAAGTAATATAAAATAAGTTAGCCATATCATAAACTTATATTTAGCCTATTACCTTTTTATGTCCCTCACCAGAAGTATATCTTATCTCTTTCATTTCATATAATTTTTGAGTTGCAAGAGATTTTAGTGATGATTAGCTTTAATATTACTTTCTTATTTTTACTTAAATATTAGGAAACAAATTCTGAAAAAGTATGTGAGATTTATAGTCCACATAGATACAATCCAAAGCCAGATCACCTACATCCTATCCAATACACTTTAAATAAAAAAGTAAGTAAAATATAAAGTCCTTTCTGGAAGAATATTGGACAGCCAAGAATTTCTCCCATGCTATCATGATATCTAAAGTTGGAAATTTTGTGGATATCCACTAGTTTTACTCGAAAGAATGTTTTATACAAAAGTACTTACACATGCACAAGGATTGTGCTTAAGGATATAAATTACACCTACTATTAAAATAGCAAAAATAAAGCAATTTAATGTCCACTTTCATGGGAGCAATTAAGTCTGGTACATTTATGTTAATACAAAGGAATCTTAAAGAGAACAGAGAGGAGCTCTACCTGTTTAGATAGAAGAATTCAAGACCTATTGTTTATTTTCTAAAGTTAGAAAATGAGGGGCTGGGGATATAGCTCAGTGGCGCAAGAGCCTGCCTGGCAAGCGCAAGGTTGTGAGTTCAATTCCCGGTACCAAAAAAAAAGGAAATAAAAAATTAGAAAATGTGATTATAGAATTATGTTTTAAAAATACCAAACAAAATGTGTATGTATATATGTGTAGAAATACACTTATGAAGAGAAAGAATTGGAGAGATAGAGTCCAAACCGTTAGTAAAGGTGATACTTTCAGGAATGGTAAGAAAAGTTGGGAAGAATAATATTTTAATTCATATACTTTGATACTTTACTAATATTTGCCAAGTTTATTTAGATTGTTGTGTAAAAATAAAGCACAAACCAACATAGCCTATTTTTAGGTAGAGGAACTGTTGCACATATTGAAAGCAACATGTAAAAATAAAAATAATACTTGTACCAACATTCTTTAATGTTATATCTTAAAAATGTATCTTACTCATTTTTAAAAGCAGATCTTTTGCTTAGAGTGAAGATAAGACGGAAACTTGTTTCAAGGCCAGCATGCTGATTATTCTCTTTAGTTTACACTAATTTGCATGTGTTTTGAGAGGCTAAGTTTTCTTCTTTTACCCTTGGTCCCCAGACACAATATGGGATGAGACATTACAATATTCAAATATAAATCTTTTTTCTACCTTTTCCCATCAACGCTCAGTCATCCTTTTAGATTCAAGGTCACAAAGGCAGTTATAGTTTCTACTCTACCCCATGGTTCAAATTTTTTCTGGAACACCAGCAGACGTGTAATCTCCAGAATATTTTAGAATATTGTGATGCCTTTCTTTTCCCTTAGCATTCAACCATTGACTTCACTGACAATAGCCATACAGAAAAAAGTTGTCTAAAGGTGTAAGAGTCCATGAAGCATGCATCATTTAAGTCACTGAAATTCCGATACAGTCTCTTTATTCCTTGCAGTGTAAAATGGGGGTAAGTATTGTGGCTCAGCTCCATGGCACAGTGAGAAGAGTTCAGCCTGGATGATCTCTCCCTTCCAGTCTTTGCTGTTTGTGTTGCAGTGTCGCCCTCTGTGAGGCTCCTCTACCCAGTCTGTTGGATCTCTGGGAACAAGGGTATGCTTCTGAAGCATCTTAGGATCATCTACTCCCAACTGTCAGTAGCACCTTGGACACAGAGACTACTCAATAAATGCCCAAGAAATGAAGGAACTTTATCAGTCAATGCATACTTCAGCTATTATCCACATTAGTTACATGGCATTGAGATGATCATGGATTCAGGTGCTCTAAAATTCTGCTTGCAAATATTAGAAGTCATTTTGCATTTTGGGTGATAATGTCCAGAGGTACTTATTTATAGAAAACTTGATGTATGAAAATTTAACTACCTAAAACAGACAAATTGGGTGTCAGGGTGGTATATATTGCTAATACCACTACTTAGGAAGCTGAGGAAGACAAGTATCAGAAGGACAAGTTCCAGCTTAGTCTGGGAAACTTAGTGAGACAGTCTTAAAAAAATAAACATAAAAATAAAAAAGGCTGGTGCTTTAGGTCAGTATTCAATCCCCAGTACCACCAAAAACAACAATTAACACAAAGACAACAATCCCCTCAAATAAAAAACCCATCTCTAAACAACAGGAATTCCAAAACCAAAAGAATGAAAACTCAAAACCAAAACAAAATAAAGCCATCCAACTAAACAAAACAAAATACAAACCAACCAGAAAAATTAGTAAGAGTTTGTATCATAAAAGCTGGCTTTCTCTACAATAGTATTCACCATAAGCCTATTATTTTTAGTATATTTCTTTTTTAGTGCACAGGAGCTTATTGACTGATCATCATTTGGCAGAGGCCATGGAATGTCAGTGGTCATTATTTGTGGTTCATTCATTACAAAAGAGGAGAACTCTGAACTCATAGGGAACTGGAAAAACGTCAAGGACTCAAAGTGCAACCCATGACCAAGCAGCACCAGCTTTGTCAGGAAGGTTAATAGAAATGCAAATTCATGGGCCCGGTGTGGTAAGCAAGCTGTGTTTTGTCAGGCCCTCTAGGTGATTCTGGTGCTGCTAAAATGTACTAAGGAAATCAGACTTTATACTGCAATTAGAATTACAGCAAATGACCTTAGGCTACACTGGGAAAGAGCAGACATTTTCTGGCTCCAGTTTCAGCTCTGTGTCATTTGTATTTCTCAGTGGCAATGTAATATTTTTCAGATTAATTAGTGTAAAAATGATACAGGGTCAGATATTTTCAGGGAATATTCAGGTTCCTCCAAGGGAGTCAACTTTATTTATTTATTTATTTATATTTTAAAGAGAGAACAAAACAACAACCAAGACAAAAACAAAACAACACAAAAATAATAAAAAATGATACAGAACTTTAAATAGTATTTTCTGATTTTCTCCATGAGTTTCGCTAGCTAAGTATCAGCTTTGATGCACTATATTCTTCCACTGAAAAAGGAGTTAGTTAAGTCTGACTTTTCTCTCTACACGGAGCAGATATCTGCTAGTTGCTCAGCAATTTGTGGCAATTTGTATTCATTTGCAGAATTCCAAAAAAGATAATCTATACATTATTATACAACCCTGAAAGTTGATCCACTAGTCTCAGGATGTGCTCTGGAATCCTGAAATTTTTGGACACACTTTATGCTCAGTGGGAAGAGAGAGAGAGTGAAGAGAAGAGAAAGAGGGAGAGAGGGAGAAAAGGAGGGAGAGGGAGAGAGAGCGAGAGAGAGCTGGCATTTATTATTTTGATAGACTTGGTACTGAAGAAACATCTGTCTTCAATATACAAATACACAGATCAGGAAAGCTGATAATCAGTAGCCACAAAAGGAAGCATCCTTTTAGTAATTTCTTATTCTAGCCCTTTTCAATAAAAGGTACTTAATTTTTGGTACCGGAAATCGAACTCAGGGCCTCATGTTTGCAAGGCAGGTGCTATGATGCTAAGCTACATCCCTGGTTCAAAAGGTACTTTTTAGTTACATAAAATATATATCATTCACTCTGGGAAGGTAGAAAACCAACGCAAGATATGGAGGTAGGACAGTAGAGCAATAATTCATACACAGATATCTATGATGTTCCTGTGACTACAACAGCATCAATTTTCAGATTCAGTTTAAATGTAACATCTCCTAAGCATGAGTCTTCTCTGCATGGCAGGAGTAGGCTGTCCTGGATGTTCTCTTGGATTATCTTCAACTCCTTCCACACATAAAGCAGTGCTCACAGTGCCCGGCACATAGGAGCTACTAAAGGTGCAATAGTTGTGTGAATGAGTGCATGGAATGAGGATGGGGGTTGGGCCCACAGAGTTTGTACTTGGTGTCAGTACTTTCTGGCTGTGAGACCTTGGGCAAGCCATCTTAACTGTTCTGGGCTCTGGTTTTATTATCTAGAAAAGAATGGAACTAATAAGTAACCTATAATAGGGACATTGAGATGGATCAATGACATGCTGTGAACATGACCAGTGTCACGCCTAGTCCACAGGGGAGTGAGCAGTCCACTGTTTGCAGTTATCTGTATTACTTTTGCATCCACAGCTGTTGGTGGGGAAGCAAACCATTATACTAAAATGGGAGGGAAGGCTGAGTTCCTCAGGCTAAAGGAAGACAGATGTCTAGAGATGCATTACAAGGAGAAAAATGACATCCTTACTAATTATCTTCAGGGAGAATCATTTGCTTATCATTCTACTGTACCTGAAATAACATGCAGAGTGGGGAACAGACAGCATGAGTGTGTAACATGGATATTCTCAGGTGGTTTACATGATAGCACCATGGTCCATGCCTGTCAACATCCTGGAGAGTTTACCTGTAGCCTGATAAATTCTGTCAGGGAACAATGGTGCTACTATGATAACCACAGGCTGGTATTGCCCACAGTGTGCTCCAAGACACACTAATTTCACAGAGTGGTCTGCACAAGGAGGAAACATGCTTCAAAAGTTTGGAATATGATTCACCCTTCATCTTTTCTCAGAGATGTCAAAGCATGCTAGGGGGCCAGTGACTTCAAATCCTGTAATAAAGAAACCTGCTTACTTTTGCAGAATTTGGTGGTTAAACTTATTTTATCACATAGCCTTTTTAGCAGTAACATCAACTAACAGTTCATAAAACTGACGTTCAGAAGTGGTTTTGGGAAATGCTGATTTGGACATTGTTTAATGAGATGCTATACTTATCTTAGTGTTGTAGCTTCCATATTGAGAAGAAAGAAATGGAGTCAATCTTATGGATTAGAATTGATGCTAAAAGGTATTGGTAAGGTGCATAGCAACTCGATTCTTTGCCCTTTGTCATGATCCAAATGAACTGATACCTCCCACTTACGTACTTGAAGTGACAAATATATCCAGTGGTTCTCAACTGGAGCCAATCTTGCCTACTCCTACACTATATTTGGCAATGTAGATACTTTGGTCATTACATTCTGTAGATCCCTACTGGTATCTACTGTGAAGGGGACCCAGGTGCTGTTGAGTATTCTATACTGTACTGGAGACATCCCTGTTACCAAGAATCATGTGTTCTAAACTGTCGTTAGTGCTGAGGTTGAGAAACCCTGCCTTAGACCTGTAGTCATGGCCATGCATTCGTTGAAACAGTAAATATTTATTGAGCATTTATTATATCCCAAGCCCACAAAGTGACTCAGGAATGAGAAGATGATAAACTCATGGCATTTATCACTTAGGTAAGGAAATATATATATTTATTCAATAGTCACAGAGGTAAATATAAGAGAATAACATCGTCAAGTGGTGAGAAAACACATGTCCCTATTTTCTGATTCAAGGGGGGGTATAATTCAAGTAGACTACATTCAATTATAAGAATGAGCTAAATAAAAATGTTTCCTCTTTAAATTATGGAAAGCGATCTCAAGTATAAGTATGTTTAAAGTGCATCTTGAATAAGTAATTTTACATGTATGACTTACCTGGTTTAATATTGTTGAATTCCTTTTCAATGATCTCTTCAGAGGTAGACAGCATAAGGTTTCTTACATATAAGATTTTCACCGAAGACATTGTGTCTTCATCAACTTCTACTTCTGGTTCTGCCCAGTCTACTGCAATCGGATGTCCCCATAACTGAATTCTTCCTGTTGAAAATGATCATGGGTATGATTAATTATTTAGAAATCAGGGTAACATCATCTCAGTTCATACTGATGGCCTTTAAAATTGAACCAACCCTTGAGGTCTTGGATGAGTAAGACCATTAAAAGAGGTAGTTATTGATCTTAAGACATTCAAGTAAATGTCAGAGTTGGCTAAGAGGTGACTACTGGCTTGTTATAATGATTGAGTAGAGAGGGAAAGAGTATGTGGTTTAAAATGGACCAGAAATGAGAAGGTAGTGGGCATGTTTGGCTCTGAGAACAGCTTTTACTGGTGAAGGTAGTTGTTTAAGGGCAGAAAGAGTGCATTTGGCCTCAGACATAGAGTCTGACTTCATGAAATATTCACAAGCTCACTAGGTCACATGTCTGCTGCTTTTGGAATCTGTGCTGTTCTACTGGCCAGGCACCACCACTGAAATATCCACAAAGAATTTCTTCCCTTCCACTGTCCGTCTCTATTCCTTCCTCTTCCTCTTCAGCCAAATAAGTGTCTGGGATTAATCATCATGCTAGGGTGCACAAGTGTAGTTCAGACACCCTAGTTTGTTCTCTGTTCCTCACACTTGATCAAGGCTCACAGCAGCTGTGTCTTTCCTAAACCTCTGCCTCAGCATGGGTAACTTGGAAATTTAAAGGAAAAAATATATCTTAATTAAGAAGACAGTTAAAGTGCAACAGAGAAGTCTACGATGAGGAATTTAACTCTTCTTTGAAAGATAGTTTTATCCAGTACTATATATTTTTACATTCTTATAATAATAATGTGAGCATTTTGCATATTTCCTATGCCCTTCTCAGTTCTTTCTCCTAGTAACTTTGTGGGGGGTGATGGTTCCAATTTTATGGAACAGAAAATGAGCTTTAGAGAGGATAACTATCCAAACCTATTTTCCTTCACCTCCTCTCGCCTTTGTTGTTTGTAACTCAGCTCTTATGCATCTGTGAGGTTCAGGCTGTATTCAACTGGAAGAAAATGTCGAGAGTCAACTTGAATTCTAGTGGGAGGTACTGAGAATTGAAACTGGGGCCTTTACACCTAGTCCTTTCTCATATTTTATTGTGAGATGGCATTTCACTAAGTTGCTAAGTTGCCCAGGCTGGGCTCAACATTGTAATCCATTTTTCTCTGCCTCCCAGAGTGCCTCCCTCCCTCCTCTGCTTGGTAGGGTCTAAATTTGATGGGAAACATAGTTTATTTTTTATTCATTGTTTGGGAACTAGGTAGACCCTATAAACAATTCAAAGCTTGAGAGAACAAAACCAGGAATTTCCAGTGTTGGAAAGCATGTGTTTGTTTAATTATTACAAGTGCAGGGCAAGTATTTTCAACCAAAATGTAGATATTTACTCCTTAGAAAGCAGTCATGATCTGTGACAAAGAGGCCGAGAACACACAATTCAGAAAGGATAGTGTCTTCAACAAACTGGATATCTACTTGTAGATGAAGCTGGACTCTTTTCTCCTACCATGGAAAAACTGCTCAAATGAATTAGAAACTGAAATGTCAAGACTCACAACTATAAAACTGCAAGAAGAAAACCTGGGAAAAAGTTTCTGGATATTGTCCTGGACAATAATTAGTTGGCTATAATCCTAAAAGCACAGGCAACAAAACAAAAAGAGGCAAATGAAATTGCACCTTCACAGCAAAGGAAATAATGAATGGAGGGAAGTGACAAGTTGAGGAGGGGGAAAATAATTGCAAACCATGTATCTGATAAGGCACTGACTTTAAGTCAAGAGACTTAAAGAGACATTTTCAAAAGATGTACCTATAGTACAATGAAAAAAAATCACTACTCATCATGGAAATTAAATTAAAACTCTAACGAGATATTTCTCACATAGGTAGAATGTCTATTATCAGAAAGACAGAATGTAGGTGCTGATGTAGATGTGAAGAAAAGAGAAACTTTATACATTGTTGGGAATTTAAATTATTACAACCATTGAAAATAGAGCTATCACATGATTCAGCAATCTAGCTACTGGGTGTATAGGCCAAGGAAATGAAAGTAGTGTGTCAAAGAGACATCTCTACTCCCATGTTTATGGCAGCATTATTCACAGCAGACAAGATATAGAATCAACCTAAGTGTCTGTCAACAGATAAATGGATAAAGAAAATTTTAGAATCCTTTGAGCCAGTTGATATCACATTGGTAGGCTGTAGTAAGCCACAATGGGAGAGTTAATATCGTGAAAATATGCAAATTCAGGCCTTTGCTTTTCCCCTGGGAGCTATTCATTAAAGGTTTACCACCTCATTAGTGGTGCTTGGACTGTTCTTTCCAGTGTTGCCTCAAATGGTCTAAGCCTCAAGACTTTTAATTCTACCATGCAGCCAAGGATGAATGCCACTGTTTTTGCTTTTGCCTTCTCAGCTTGGGACCCTTGTAAAACTACAAATAAACCTGAAGAGCTGCATATCTCTGGAGGGAACAAAAATGAAAGAAGGCATGGAAGCATTTGATTTCTGAAAATATCTCTGTGGAGGGCTATGGTGGAAATCAGTGTGGAAGAGTGACTTAAGAACATGTGCTTTGGGCTGGGGATGTAGCTCAGTGGTAGAGTGTTTGCCTAGCGTGCACAGGCCCTGAGTTCAATCCCCAGTACCACAAAACAAAAACAAAACAAAACACAAAAACCAAGAACATGTGCTTTGAAGTCAGATATGTTCAATGATCTCAGCTGGAAAACACAGCCTTTGTAAGCATGAGTTGCCTCATCTATAAAACTTGATAATAAAAGTAACTAACACTGTGGTGAAAATAAAAGAAGATGCCCATGAAGGACTCAGTTTATTGCTTTTAAATGATGATTAAACATTACACACCTCTTTTAATATTTCTATTTTCTTACTTGTATATCTTCCCCAGTTAGATACTGTTTTATTTTTTAAATCCTCCATGTCATTTAGAAGAAAGCATTATATGTTGTGGGTGCTTAATAAATGCTTAGGGGTTTAATGGTTTTTCAGGTGCTTGTATTTATGTCACTGTAGGTGAATGTCCAGCATTATTAGCTGATAGACTTAGCAGCAGCTTATAAAATTTGGATTCACAGTGGTATCATCTGGAAAATTTAAAACATAAATGCTTCAAGTTGACACTGCAGAGAAGCAGGTTCATTAGAAGTTAATATGGGTACTTACACAGTTTGAAAACATCCTGAGGAAATTCGAATGTACAGCATTGGAGGGACAATTGTTGATTTAGATTAACTGTCACCAAATATGTGGCCCTAGGAGCAATAGCATTCTGAAAACTTATAAATGCAAATTATCCAGCCCTACTCCAAACAATACTGATTCAGAAACCCTGGTGGTGGGGCTCAGCAATCTATGTTTATCAAGCCCACCAAGTGGGCTTGGTTCTGATGCAGCCAGAGGCTGAGTGTCACTGTCCAGATTTACCAGATTTGGGCTGGATACAAATGTCTCATATTCAGCTTAATGAAGACAAGAGTTGGGAAGAGGGAGCTGCTACTGTTAAGAGAGGTGGCTGGGGAGCAATTACACCACTTAGATAACAATTTTCTCTCTATCACCAAGTCTGGATCGACTTAAGAAGGAAAAACTTACAGTCCTAACTTATCACTGCTTCTTCAGTATCTCCATATTCTTTAAAACTAAGCTTTTCAGAAGGTTTCCAATCACTGAAACCCTTTGCTATTATTGAGTTTACATGGGAGTAATAAGTAGAATGGCCCAAGGAGCTAACATTTTGTTCTGAGGTTTTATTAGAAGGGAAAGAGTTTGCTCTGGGTGACTTGTTCTCCATCCTGCCTCATCTTGTTAGTTTGCTGATAAGGCAGCCTGCTAGAAACCCAGAAAAGTGAAACCCAATTGAGGATGGCTCACAGAGCTATTGGTAAGGGGCTTTGTGATGAATATGGACGGGGTGAGGTGGCTCTGTGTTGCTGGATCTTGCACAAGGAATTCATAACGAAAGGTCTGGACTTTGTGTATAGAAGCACAGTGAAATGGTTGAGAATTTCTGAAGCCCAGCTGCTCAGGCGTTAGTAAGCTGGACACACACACAGTCAGATGCTCTTTGAGTGGGTCAATTTGCTAACTTCTTTGAAAAGATGGGGAATTTTTCAGAAGGTCCATACTTTAAGAGCATTGATTGATCTCCAAAAGCTGTCATTCACCTACCCAGGACCTTCTTTCACCATCCTCTTTCACCCTCCCCCAATTTTATATACCTGCTTCTTTTAATTTTTTGAGACAAGATCTCACTATGTAGTCCAAGAAGGACTTGAACTTGCTATTCTCCTGCCTCAGCCTCCCAGTACTGGAATTAGACATATGTGCCCCCATGCCTGACTATGTATCTCTTCTATACATAATGAATGCCTGTCTACCTGAATTGGGGGAAGAAAGTGACTGATGTGGCCTAAAGTACTGATGCATTCTCAAGATATTGGCTGAACCGGTAGAGGATAAAGAATTAGGAATAAAGGACATAGAAATGAGTGTAGTCTGGGACATTGTGGGATTTGTCCTGAAAAAAAAAGAATTTTTGCTGGGAAATAAAAGAAATGTGGCAGCAAAACCTTCAGGGGCATAAATGAAGGAACTTGAATAACAGGTTTGGAGATTTAGTCCTTAGCTCATACACAACAAGTAGCTGGTGAATATTTTTTGAACAGGCAGATTAGTGACACCATTTAGTCTACAAATATTAAATTCCCATTTTGTCAAGAACTTGCTGAAAGGATGATAGAATATTTTGGAAGTGTTTATTTGGTGGTAGTATTCATGATAGATGGCAAAGGCTACATCAAAGAGAGGAGAGCTGGGAAGATAATGAGAAGACTTTTAGAAAAACAATCGAAAGTAGAGAATATAAGTGTTCAGGCTACAAATGTGACCTGAGAACGGGATAGACACAAGGATTTTCCAGTGGCAGACAGGCTGGTGTTGAAAAAAGAGAAAAATTAAGGATGATAACAAAATACAAAGTCCAGGTTACTAAAAGATAAGGATGTCACATATTGATGGGCATTTGCTCCTGAGAATCTGAGTGAAGAAGTAGTGAAGAAAATCTTCAGCATTGAAAATATCCACCTTCTCAGTAGATACAGCCATTCTTCAAGTTAGTTTTACACATATATATGTTTTTTACTTTAAATTGCCTTTTTGAAAATATTGTTAAATATTCCTTCCAAGGTCAGATTATCCTCCACCTTTGAAAATTTCCAGAGGGTTCATCCTACTCTTTGTTTTGTTTCAAAGAATGTGTACAAAGGCCATATAAATCTAGATGTTTTTGTTGTTTTGTTTTTGTTTTGTTTTTAATTATGGTGGCTCTCTTATCATTTCCATAAGAAAAGTTGGTTCTAATACTGTATGTCTTCTCTTATCTGTCCTTTTTGAAATTATCTTACTTATTAGTTCCCTGTAGCGCTTGATTTTGTATAAGGTTTAGTGAATATATTTAAGTGAGCTGAAGACTTTAAAACAGTTTTTCCCAAGTTGACCTGAGCGAGGCAGTGTCTTGGTGGACACTGTAAACCCAGGAATTGATAGTTCTCTCTGAAATGGGACTGACACTGTAGCTGAAGCATCTAGCGAAGGTGCTTTTCCTGGAAGAGCTTTTATTTCTCTTCCTTCACATTAGACAGGATTTATTGGACAATAGGGAATCATAATAAAAGTATACCACTTAATTGTCATTGGGATAATGTATCACTTGGCATTTTATTATGTCTCCACTATAATGGATAACATTCCCTATATCTAATAAGCCTGATAGCATAATTTATATGCAAAAATAGCTGTGATTGATATGTTTAGTTTTTAGAAGATTCTTCAGTTTAAGGATTCATCATAGGATTGTAATAGTTTAAAGTTCTGGATTTCTCCAGTGCATGTAAATTAGACCCCATTCACAGAATGAATACATTTCTAAACTCAATCTGTGAAAAATTCAGGAAATTGAATCAACTGTGAGATAAATAAAAGAGATGAGTTTAAAATACTGTTATATATAATAATATAATACTGTGTATTATATAGTGGCCTATATAACATTACATTATATTTATACACACACACAAACACACACACAATGACAAACCAGACACAGCCTTCTCTTGCTTCCTTTGCCAACAGCGCAGCAGTGGGAGGAGCTGTGGACTGGGCGCTAGGGCTGCTCACCCGGTAGCAGTTTCCTCCTGGCCATGGCGGCTGCGCGGTGACTCTCATACTCCACAAAGGCAAAGCCCCTGTTTTTGGTTTTATCCGCGGCACTTGGGTAGACGATGACATCCACAACTCCTTCGGTGACCTTTTTCATCTCTGATAAGATTTCTTCTCTCTTCTTCGTTTTTGGGATTCCCCCGACAAACAATCGGCAGTTGTCCACGCTGGCACAGACCCCTAAGAGACGCCCATTTCTTCAAACAGAGCAGGCATTTTGATTAGTGAGCATCCTGTGTCGTTAAAGTTTAAGCTAGAGATTGAAAATGTGTGGTGCTGGGCCAGGGGTGGCCTGCAGAGGGATGGTGTTTGGTTGTCATATTATTCAAACCATTTGTGGAGAGTTTGGCTCCTTTCGAGAGGTCAGAAGATGTGTCAGAGTGGACACTACGTTTTTAATGGAAAAAAAATCACATGAAGCTGGGTAGCACCTCTCTCATTACACTAGGTGTGGATTCATCCACTGTTTGAGCCTCGCTGCTCCGCGATGCACCACCAACATGCAGGCTGCTATGGCTGGCCCACCCTCTTCCTGGCATCTACCAAGTCCTGCAGATACTTGGGTCTGCAGCCTCTCGTGCTTCATTTCTTTTTCAGCCAAAGAAAGAAGCTGCTTTGACACAATTGTTAAAAATGGCCCCTCACACTGTAACAGATGTTCATATATTATTTGGCCCTTACCAGGAGCCTGTTAGTGGGTGGAGTAGGTGTTATTTTAATTTAGTAGGTGTAGAATTTGAGGCTCCAAGAAATTAAGTGCTTTGCTTAAGGTTTTCTAGATTCTAAGGTATAAAACTAACCTCTGGGACCTCAAGTCCTGTTTCTTCCATGGTGCAGAACTGCTTATTAGCAAGGTGAAGTGTGCTTGCCTTCCTTGGCAGAGGACAGATACACTAAACTACTCTAGATTACATTTAGCAAAATGTCTCAAAAATCTTAAGTGTTCATAACTTTTGATCAAATAATGCCCCTTCTGAGAAAGACCCATTTGTAAATAGATAAGAGCAAGAAGTTTTATGGATAAAAATATTCATTGCTGTTAAAGTACTCAGTAAAATGAAAACAAGCAAAGCTTTACAATAAGGAACTGAGTTAAGGTATTGCCATTGAGCTGTTACTGGCTTTGTGACTGGGCTATTTCCTTATTGTGTGTTCCACAGAATGTTTATTATCCCTGGTTCTCGCCCACTAGATGCTAACAGCCATCTCTCAAGTCACCCCAAAATGCCTCACCCTTTCTAAACGTTCCTTAGCACGGACAGTACTGCTCCTGCCTGACAATCGTGGGCAACAAAAATGGGCATTGACATCACAGAATCTCAGAAGTCATTAAAAATAATGTAGAAGGATATTTACTGATTTAAAAATTCTGGTTCATAGTAGGCAGACTCTTTTCTTAAAAGGGTCATTAAAAAGGAGAGTCTGTAAAGATGTGAGAAGGCCATTTTGATTAAAAAAAATCAATAGAAAATCTGGAAAGATAATAAAATGTCAACATAGTGGTTTGGGAACTAGGGTTATGAGAAAATGGTTTTAAGTTTTATTACTTTGTGCTTTTTGATGTTTTCATGGCATTTTAAGCCATATAAATTATGTAGTAACACAAAGTTCTTAAAAGTAAGAAAAGTATTCTTAATAGAAACTACTCATTTGTCATGAATAAAATCTCTCAGCTAGGTGAGTGGGAGACCTGTCTGATGCTGGGGGCTGGTGGCTCTGGGTATGTGACAGGTATTCTGGTCTGGGTCGGGTCGTTGTTCTGGTCATTTCTATGCTTTGCTGAAGAAACAAGACCATGTGTCAGAACCACGACAAATCCACCTCAGTCTGGCAGGCATTGCCCAAGGAAGGTGGTTTCTTGGGGGAAGGAAAGTTTAATAGAGTGTTCTTCCAGATTTAAACTTTAAAAGAGAAAAAAAAACCCATCCTGTAAGATATTTACTTGGAAATTTTCATCATCATCATCATTATTATTTTTTATATTTAGGGGACTGGTCTAGTATCAGTGATCAGGAGGAGCCCAGAATTCCTGTTTCCTATTTTTAAATTTATGTGGTTTGCTGGGACGCTTTCCCAGAATTACTCGGAGACACGAAGTCATCTCTCTAAAGCTGAGGGTTTGACTTTAGTGTCTCTAGAAGCCAGGCATTTAAATGTTGTTTGGTGAATATTTGATGAGGAGGATGATATGACAGTTGTGGGTCTTTTCCGGATAAGAACTATATGTGTCCCCTGAGAAATGGTAGCTGAAAGCAAATTGAAGGTATTGTCTTCTGAGCAAGAGTTTCCTCTCTGGCAGGATGACCCCAGGCAGAGGGGAAGTTATAAAGTTGCCTCTGGTGACTCTCCTGTGCTATTTCATATTCCTCTTATCCCCCTCACTAATCTGTGAAGTATCTCTGTGACTTTACCTTGCCTCTATCATCCAATAGGATCTTTGACGGTGGTCTCAGCCACTCACTTTCTCTTTCCAGGTTGTCATATTCCCTCTCCTCCTCTTCTCCCTCATCTATGCTCACCAGTGTCACAGTTCTCAGCAGTGTTGCATGAGGTGTGTCAGTGTGATATCTGTGAGGTGCTGAGATTTATGTGTATTCCTCTCACTTCTTTTCTGAACAGTTCGTGAAGTAGGCATACTTTTTCTCTGTTTTACAAGCAAGACCATGAATTTTCCAGAGGACGTTGTTAATCATCAGTGACCATGGCAAGTTGATCTATTCATTTTTCAAAAGTGCTGACAAGCCCCAGTGATAATAATGTGTTAAGCTGGTAGAACAGACTCTGTTGGATGCCTACAGTGAATTCCACATTCATCTCAACTCAGAAGTTTTTTAGGAAACGATGCCTCCTGTTGGAATGTCTGGGTTTTATGAAAGATAAAGGAATGGAGGATTTTCCAATTATGAAATCATATAGCTACAATATTTGAAAATTAAATTAAAATATAGCTGTGTATAGCCTTTTCTAAAGCATTTTAGGGTAAATTATTGCATAAGGTGGATGCCCAGAACATCTCTCTGTGATCAGGTGCTCAGGTTAAAAGTAATATTCAAAGAAGCCAAAGGATTTGTCTAAGGGAACCTGAGGTAGACCTTAGGTCTCTTGATTTATTCTCCAAGCAATCTCCCACCCCCACATGAAGTTCTTTTGGGGTCATGGAGGAACATGTGGCAGGCTCCTTAGTTTATTCCAAGATTCTCTTCCAGAGTTCCACTTTGAAACTGCCTGGCTAGGTCACTACTGTAGTAGGCAGGCCAGTTGCCAAATCTGATTTATCTTCCTGTGTCTATGGAGTTTAAGAAAAATGATACAGTATTTGATGCATTTACAGAATTATAAAGACCACATATGACTTATTTGGGGCCTCTCAGTGTGGGAGAAAACTACTGGTGAGAAATCTGCTCTTCCATGCCTCCAATTTAAGATTCCATCAATTTTAAGGTTTGTCTGTATTTCAGAAAGGAATAAATGAGAAAAACTGCATCTTAGAATTGAACTATGCTATTTTTATCATTTAATGATTTCTTACTGCATTCCAAACACCGGATTAAGCATTTAAGAACTCATGCAGTTATCTGCATAATAAACCTATGAAATGGCTTTAAATCCCCATTTTATAGATGAGGAAATTGGGGCACAGAGAGGCTGTTACTTGCTGAACTCAAGTGAAGGCTGGTTGACCCCAACTGTATTATCTATTGCTTTTCTTTTTCTTTTTCTATTTTTTTTACTGCTGCACTAATCTTCCTCCCACATGTCCCCAGGTTTCCTTTAAGAAAAGATTTATAGCAGTTTTCTTGTCTAAGTGAAATTTCTAGAGCTCAGTTTTATGAACTTAGCCTTTTTTCATTTTCAATTTTATGGAAACAGGCTATGGGTGGCTTGGGACCAGTTATGTCCTGGAAAACTCCTGAGGTCTATGCTTTGCACTGTTGTCTATATTTGGCGGACACTCCCTGCCCCCTCCGATTTCTATTCCAACCACAGCCCCCTCCTGACTCCACTGTCACGCAGTTATAGTAACTCAGTCACTTCCAGTAAGGCAGTCTCTCCTGGGATGTCTGATGTGCTAAGTGCCCGAAGCAGAGCTCTTCCTATGTTCCTTACTATTACTCAGCCCATTCTATCCTAACAGCATTACCACACAGGTACTGAACCCAAATCCTAGGTTCCTTCTTTAAATTCTGCCCCTCACACTTCACTTTATTTATTTATTTTTAATTTATTTAATGTATTTATTTTTTGAGACAACATCATGCTATACAGTTTGGGCTAGTTTGAACTCACTGTGTAGCCTAGCCTGGCCTCAAATTCACTGTGGTCCTTCTGCCTGAGCCTCCTGAGTGCTAGGAATATAGCTGTGGGCCACCACACTCGATTCTTTTTTTTTTTTTTTTTTGGTTTTTCTCCTGTACCGGGAACCGAACTCACGACCTTGTGCTTGCCAGGCAGGCACTTTTGCCGCTGAGCTAAATCCCCAGCCCCTCGATTCTTTTTTCCACTTTAAATTCATTATTTAGCAGTCTGTGTCCCCAGTCTGCACAGTAAATCCCAGGTCAGACCTTTCTGTCACCTCCACCCATGAATCTTTGTCTCCTTTCATCAACTCTTATCTCCATCTAGACAGTGCAGCGCCTTTCTCCATGGCTTTCCTCTTAGAGTCCTTCCCTGGCTGTACTCTGTTCTCCACTCAACAGCCAGGGCAGCATTTTAAAACCTTGACTGTAATTAGAACCCTCCTATGGTCCCTCTTCCCAAGAGGAAAACTCAAATTTTGTATCCTGGAGTACAAGAGCATTCAGCTCTGTTACCTTCAGTCTTCCTCACTCTACTCTGATCTTCCTGCCTGGACTTTCTTTCCATCCTCCCCACATATCAAGCTTGCTCTCATTTTGGGAACTTTGTACATGTTCGTCTTCCTCTTTTTGGAATAATCTTACTCTAAATCTGTCATAGCTGACTCCTTTTTAGAAAAAAACCCCTTTTTATTAGTACATGTTAGTTGTACACAATGATTACATTGATTACGGGGAGTTGGTACACGGGTATAGCACATCCTTATTCTTCTTATGTTCCCTTCCCTTCTCTCTGCTCTCCCTCCAATTCTTGGCCTCTTTCCCATTTGCAAATATCTAAGTCCCTCTTTCTGTCATCTCTCCATTCATGTCTCAGATCAAATTTCATTTTGCCAGATAGTATTTTCTTAAACACACCAAGTTAAAGCCACCTCACAAAATTGTATACCATTTCTGGTTTTATTTTTTCATACTTTTTAAAAATATCTTATATATTTGACTGTTTACTGTGAAGATATGTATCTTGATGCATTTTTAGCATTTTAAAGTGTCCAGCATGTATTTGTGAAATGGAGAAATTAATGAGTTTTGTTTCATTGAACATGTCATGAAACTTAGTCTGGCACTTCATGTGGTATTGATATTAGACAAATATATTCCACTAGAGTTACTTCCACCATGGAAAATATCTAACATTTTTGTTTGGCTACCTTGAAAATATATTATATTAGATAAGCTTGACAAAAAGACAACAGGTACATTGTTGATTCAATTTTAACATAGAAGATGGAGCTTTTACCTGATTTCATAATTATTAAGTTGCTTGATTGCATTCTTGGCTTCCAGTTTATTTGAGAAAGTTACAAATGCATATCCTCTATTGTTGCCATTAAAATCCATCATCATTCTCATTTCATAAATTTTACCAATCTATAAGAAATGCAACAAAAAATTCATGTTTATATATTTGTCCTTCCAAATGAATGTACACATACACACATGCGCACACACACACATGTGCAAATACACTCACACACGCACGCACGCACGCACACACGCACACACACACACAATGTTTTCTGCACTGTGCCTCCTGCCAGTGTCTGGCATCTGCCTCCTATGTGGAATGGCCTGCATATTTTTTATGCTGGGTTCAGATCAACTATCTGACTGATGGAAAAGTCAAGTTAAATAAAGAAACTATACACAAGTGGCATTTCAGCATGAACAAACAGAATGTTTTTGACGGAGCAAATGACCTTTCATCACACAATTATCTGGAGATCTATGCAAATTCTTGGGGCCCTGCCAACCCATTTGTCATCAGAAGTATGATTTCTTGATAGAATTGTCATCCATGCCTTCCAGCTTGGCTTTTGAGGTCTCCACAATTTGACCTCTACTTGGTCACACTCTAACACTGATGTTTAAAACAAAAGCCATGAAGATTCATTTGGAACCTTGCTAAACTAACTTCTTGTCAGATTGAACTAGTGTTTCAGAGTGTGGTCTGGGGAATGCGCTACTTTCTCAGTTTGTAGGATGAAGGTAAATGCTTGTGCATCTCAATTCAACTAGTGCATAGCCAAGACTCCCATAGCAGAAGAGCACTCACTCTAGCCCTGGCTATAGCTCCTCTGCTTGCTCATACTGTATTCTCTCCTATACCTCAGCTGCCCTCTAGCAATCCAGTTCAGCAATTCATTATCTGGGGCTGCTATAAAAGGGGGGCTTAAACAGAAACAATAGGTATGTGTGGGCAGAAGTGTCATTAAGCATATACCATTTCCATAGTGGTTCACTGCCCCTTTGTTACCCTACTCTGAAATTTTCAGTGATGTATCCCTATTTCTTCTGGATTTATTGGGAAAGAGTTTGAACATGCTTCATCTGTGCTTCAGGGGTCTCCTGACACTTACTTGAGGTTAAGAATATAAGATGCTTAAAGGATTATAGTTTGCCTATGTGCCAAGTGAGACGATAGACATGAAATTAAGTACAGTTTTGAATCCGGGGCTGAGCGACACACACAAACACAAGCACAGTGAAACCTGATTTGAGAATTTAGGAGAAGAGCTAAACTCTAATACTGACTAAATTTTTCTAAAACATGCATGCTGCTGATAACCACTGGGTAAATCATAAAAAATAAATATTTTTGAGCTTAGTGAAAAATATTCTTTGGAATTAAAACTGAGGAAATGTATTTTTTGATAGTTATACATGATATTGAGAAGCCATATTTTCAATCCTATTGTTATATTAGGGTAGACAAGACATTCAGACTTGTAGAAGAAACTTTTATTCTGAGTCAATACATAGAGGAACATGCTTGAGCCATGACAAGCACACACATTCTTTTTAAATGGAAACGCTGCACTTTGAAAGGTCATTAAAATATCAAGTTGGGGCAGTATCTTATTTAACTAGACTGTTGTAGTGTGACTCTAGATTTATAGGTACAATGAATTTACAATGTGATGGCCACGTGAGGAAGATGACTGGGGAACAAGCTCTAAACCTGAGAGTCTTTAGCATTGTTAATTCATTTGTGAACAGGACAAAGATCTGGGTCAAGTGTGGGGATATAGCTCAGCAGCATAACTCTTGCCTGGCTAGTGCAAGGTCCTGAGTTTGATTTCTGGTACAAACGAAAGGAAAAGAGCTGAATCAGGGCAATAAAAAGGCAGTCACTCATGGCTAGAAACATTTTAACTTTGGCAATTGGAAGAGAAACCATTACTGACCGAGATGAACAGGAGTGAAAGCAAAGTGAACAGAACACTACTTTCCTCTTGAAAGAGAAGTTAAATATTAAAGTCAGACTCACTTTCTCACATAATGGTATAAGTTCATCTTCAAAAAGGTCCCGGGGAAGTTTTCCAATAAAAATTTCACAGCCTCTCTCCGGCGGTGCAGCATCCCAACCAGGTGGCGGGCCACCGTATTTTCTCTGGCCATTTTCCTGCAAGTCCAGGATGGGGTGTATGAGGGAGAGAAGCAAATGGTAAAATCTCTAATTTGATTCTCTTGATTATTTTTCAAAATCATTCTCACTGACAAATACTAATAGCTGACTGGTTGGATGAAGGTGAAGTCTTTCATGAACTGCAATATCACACTATGTGCTTCAGAGACTTGCTCAAGACAAGCACTGATAACACTTGAAAGTACAAATATGAGGTGATTTTTTAAAATTTTTATTTTATTGTGCTAGAGTGTCTAACATATATCTACCCTCTTTACAAATTAAAGAGTTATTTCATCATTGTCATAAATTCGGCAAAGTCTGATAATTTTAATCCAGAACTCTGATTTCATGTTGGAGGTCGAGTGGTGTGGTGGCAAAGATGCCAGAGCTGGACTGTGCAGCTTTGTTATTTATTGGCTGTGGGCACTGATCCCAGTGACTTAGCATCTCTGAAGGTTTTGATTAGAGGGCAATACACCAAATATGCATGGTTCTTGGCTTATGATAAATAGTCAACAATTGTTAATTCCTTCCTTTTCCCTGGGTTTATGCTGTTTCCTGAACAAGGCCAGACACTGTCAGCACCTAAAGAGGACCACGTGAAGGTTAACATGTGGAGAAATGAACCAACTGATTTGGGGGATATCAGGTGAGGGGTTTAAATCTGTTTCCAAAACTGACATAATGGTAAGAGGTGTTTACTACTGTTGGATTTTTATATAGCAAATAATAATGTTCATAGTCCAAGTGGAGTTAATTTATTTTTCTACCTTTGTTCGATTTTTTTTCCTTTCACCGAATGAATGTATTTCTTCCCTATGACCTAAAGAATGTACTTTTTTTCCCCTGGAGGACTAACACCAGTGTTTTCTGCAAGGTTATCTTTGTTTTATAGAGGATAAAGACCAAAGTTACAAATGAGCCTAATTGATTTGTATTCGTTCATTTTTTGGACAAAGGTAAACTACTTTGCACTTTGGCACAGTTAAAAAGCTAGGTCATTACATTTTATTGTGATATTTGGAGAAAGGAACATATAAGGGACAAAATATCAGTGTTAATTACTAACTTCACAATTAATATTTTAAGGAGCTTTACACTATAATACATGTTGTTGGGGAACAAATGGTAACATACAGAGTCAAAAGATAAATGCCCCAATGTATCACTGCCCATCATGAGAAGTAGTTACTGTTCAAAGCTTCAGTCTGCATATCAAATATTTTCTCTACATAATCTGAAAAGATTTGTGTCAGTTGTTTAAGGACACTTTTGTGATAAATGTTCATTGTTTAAAATCAAAATAAAGGAGCTTTTAGTACCACTGTTAAATCTCTATACCAACGTGAGTCCTACAATTTTTTAAATAAGAGTTTGCCCAAAGGCTCTTTGGATCACTGTTTTTAAATTATGCCTGTGGTCAGGATCACTTCTGCATTCCCAATAATTTGTATCATGTTCGTTTAAATAATGTGGTGAATGGTCTATCTTTTCTTGACTACTTACTTGTGGCAACTGGTTTGCTCATCTTACTGAATATTTTAAATTTGCCTATAGACTTCTTATGATTTTTTCTTAGCCTGCATTCTTATTTAGTAGGAAAACTTTGGTATCACTGACAAATGAAATAATTTATGCTTTAGAAAATAAGACACAACAAAACCTTTAGGACTCAGTGGTCTGTATGTCATCAAAAATTTCCTAAAACTATAAATTTGACATGTGTAAAGATATTAAAGATTTTACTTATTATTTATTTTCTAACAAATAGTTATATAGCACTTACTATTGCTGTTGTTCTAATCCTCACAACAATGCCATGGGTTAGAAACTATTGTTATCCAATTTATAGAAGACTCTGAGGTCCAGAGAGTAACTTACTGAAGCCACATGGTTGTTGGGTGAAGGCAGGCGGGTATGAACCCAAGAATTCCACGTTAGTTTATCAACTTTATCCCTTAATGTTCCTGCCTTGACTAAGAGAAGCCTGAGAACTTATAACAGATATATACATTAAAACTTTTATTTATGAAAAAGTTGAGAACATCCATGCTACATATAAAGTCCTTTTCAATTTCCACTCATTTTATTACACTCAATTTTTAGAATTTTAATGAGAAAAAGTAAAATAAAATTTCAAAGCAAGACAATGGGAGAGTAACAATGGTTAATGCATTGCATATTGTTATCTTTAAATTAGTACAAGATTTCAGCACTTAATTGTCCAAAAAATATTAGCACAAATCTTTATTTTCAATGAACTAAGAGAAATTAGTAGTACAACTATTTTAACTTTGATATATATATATATAGTTTATACATATATATATATATATATTTGTTTTTCTCTTCCTTCTTTTACCCAGTCCTCCATTTCCATTTCCTCCATTCCCCATCCCAATTTCTCTTTCTTTTTGAAGTGTTTTCCCATTTTACAATATCTATTATATGTTTGGGATCTTACTAACTTTTTCTTATACTAGGGAGACAGTACAATGTTTACACATATTTGTCTGTTTTATTTCACTTATGATTATGGTCTCAAGTTGCATCCATTTACCTATAAAAGTCTCTAGTTTATCTGTCTTTGTGGCTGAGTAGTACTCCATTGTATAAAAACACCACATTTTTTAATCCATTCCTCAGGTGATGGGTATTTAGGTTGTTTTCAAGATCAAGCTGCTATGTACATGCGTTCATATGTATTGCCATTGTATGAGGTTTTTAATTCTTCTGGGAAGATACCCAGAAGAGGAATAGCTGGGTCAAATGGAATCTCTAATCCTAGTTTTTTATAGAAATCTCTACACTGATTTCCACAGAGATTGTACCAGTCTACACTTCTACCAGCAGTGAATAATGATTCCTTTTCCCCACAGCCCCTCCAGCATTTGTTATTGGTTGATTTCTTGTTAATAGCCATTCTTTCTGGGGTGCGATGGAATCCCAGTGTTGTTTTAATTTGCATCACTTGAATGGTCAGTGATGTTGAACACTTTTTCATATATTTATTTGCTGTTTGTATTTCTTCACATGAAAAGTGTATATTCATCTCAGATGCCCATTTTTGGGTTGGGTCTTTAAATTGGGGATGTCTGATTTTTTTAGTTCTTTATACGTTCTTGATAGTAATCCTTTGTCTGAGGAACAGCTAGCAAACATCTTTTTTCTGCATTTTGGGTTTTCTCTTCACTCTGTTGGTGATTTCTTTTGCTCTGGGAAAAGCTTCTTAATAAGATGAGATCCCTGTTGATTCTTTGCGATAGTTCCTGTGCAATTAAGGTTTTATTTATAAAGTCTTTGCCTACCCCAATGTCTTTGAGACATTTTACCTATTCTATTTCCGGAAGATTTAATGTTTCTGTTTTAATAACTACCCTCAATTTTGAAGAGGATATTTCACACGTTTGTTGCTTAGAGAGATGCATGTTAAAACTGTTCACCATCACGCTCCTCTCTGGACAGCTCTCCCTGGGTGTCATGATGGTCCTTCTTGCATTCTTTTCTGTATATCTTGTGGAATTAATTTAATAGAAATTTGGCAGTGTTTTTACCCTTCAGCTTGAGGAAATCAAACTCCCACCCCATAATAGTAAAGTGGTTATTACATAATTTCTGATTTGCCAAGCTTTGTATGAGAGTTGCAAAATAAATACACAATTGACAAATGGACCTTTTATTTTCCCTTTGACATTCTTGATTGCTGTAATTGCTATGAATTGTACCAAATCTTTTGTATGTGAGTATTAAAGGATTCATTTGCTTATGAGTCAAAATGATTGATTAGGCAAACTTACTGTGTTTTCTGTGGTTTGTATTAGTATTTGGAAAAAGTGCCCTAAGAATTAGGCAATTATAAAGACTGACCAGTTCAGAGATGCCCTGACTTTCATGTAGTGGAGGAGATTTGCTCTCTGAACCACCCACTGGGTTTGGAATGTACCAGTGGTTGGAGTCTAAACCAATTTAAGGCAGGCAGGAACATTAGTCATGGGGTTAGAATAGCTGTCCCTTACTCAAAAGGGACAGTTGGACTCTGGGTTTTGGTATTTCAGGCACTATTTTTGTAGTTGAGTAGTTTAAAATAGATAAATTATAACTGCCCAATTATAAATACTCTTTTCCCTTCTGGTTGATGTCCTCATGGGACGTATTCTCTCTAGCAGTTCAAATGTATTAATAGTTCAGAGAAAAAGAACATAGAAAAATTTTTTAAATGAGAAGATGTTTATTAAATGCTGGGAACTTTTACTTTTCCAGTCAAAGACTTAGAAACTTCTCTTTCCCTGGTCAGATACAAAGAGCAGAAAATCTTCAAACTGTGCCAATTAAAAATTGAGGATCCAACTCTTAACTATAAATGCAGTGGCTTTAAACAATGAATACTGAGCCTACCTCACTTTACGTGTCAAAAGTGTTTGGAAATTCCTATCATAGACATTTCAAGTCCTTCACAATGAAACCATAGTTTTTAAGGAATCATAGCTACCATTTTTTTGACCCTGGAAAAATAATCAGACAACCTTTCTCAGTAGATCATTCTGGCCAGTAAGCCTTAGCATGAGAATTAAAAAGACTGAATTCATTTTGGCATCCAGGCATCTGAACCTTTTATACATTTGGGGAAACCTGGGCAAAACCACATTTTCCTCCCAGATACTTGTCTTTTCAGCTTCCCATGTCATGGGAATGGTCATGGCTTTACAGGAAAATAAAACTGAGTTCTGGTGGAGAACTGCAATATTTCAAGCTTTAGTACTGAGTAAAGCTTCAAGCTGAGTACTCTTTGATAGTGGATGTATTTTTATTATGAATTTGAGATGGAGTAGTTTTGTGTTTCATCCTTAAAAGCTTATCCTTGAATCTTGTCCAAGTCCAACATTTCTATTATCTGGTACCTTTACTTGAATTCTTTTTCTACTTTTCATCCAGAATTATCTTCTATTATTTGCACAGAGAAGTAAAAGCAACAACAAAATCTAGTCAAGTTAGGC